TGGTCAGACCTAAAGGAATTAATAAAAATACGAGTATATGAACCGATATTTTGCTCGGTAGAGTGATCATGAGATCGTGACTTGTGAGAGGTGACCGACCAGGCTAATGTAGTATCTTACTGACCTAAACATATCAAGACCTCTTAGCTCAGTGGTAGAGCGTGTGATTCCAGCCTAAGTAAGCTCATAGGTGATTCCACAAGGTCATCCGTTCAACTCGGGTAGGGGTCACTTTTTGGCTCCTCCTGGTTGTATTACTTATACCCAACAGCACATTGAGCACGCACCAGGCAATTCCAGAATGCTCTATTTCGGGCCTTTGCCAGTCTCTCCTTAGTTGCAGTGCACAAAATTTAAAGCTTATCTTTAGTTACAATTATGAGGCGTACGGTACCTGAGTCGGTAAGGTATTAGATCTGAGAACGCACGCTCAGTCTCACTTATATCAGTTAGTTCTTGGAGTGCAAATACCCTATATTTCTGCTACACGATCCCAGTAAACATATACAACCCTAAGACAAGAACAAGATAAAGTAAAAAGCACACAAAAAAAGCGAATAGACTCAAACGTTCAATTCGTCCTACCGCTCAACGTTCCTACTGAGCGGCCTCGATCCAGTAGCACCCATTTCAACATCTGACATGCCTACGAAAGGCTGAATAGTGAACGGCGTAGACAACGGTCGGTCCCGTTCCCTATCCCGATCACGTTCGCGCTCTCGTTCGCGCAGGGTGTCCCTCTCTCGCTCTGGTTCTGGTTCCCGAGGCAGCTCTCGCATCTTGCGCTGCCACTCCCTAGTCTGTTCTCGGTCCCACGGATCCAGCTCGCGCTCGCCTGTCGCAGTCCACCCGGTTGTAGACGAGGACATCGGCCGTTTGTCTTCTTTATCCGCACCGCCCAGCACGGGCGAGTCAAATATCGGTTCTCGGTACTCTCGTTCCCGTTCTCGCTCTCGTCTTCGCCCAGTCGACCCATCCCACGCTGGCGCAGGCGCAACAACATAGCTGTGCACGAGCGCAGGGGGGTACTGTGCGCCTTGTGCTGGGGCACGGTACGCATATACCCCTTTTGACCGCGCGTATGGCTCTTCTTCACTCGCGTGGGCAGGCTGATATGTAAAGGGCCCGGACGGAGGCATATTCCCCATACCGTTTGTTGTGTGAAAGTAAGTTCGTCGAGGCGCCATGAGTTCGAGGTCCGAGACTGCCTCGGCGTAGGAAAGGGGAGTGAGAGTAGGCGTGGCGCGTACTGAAGCGGGTGCACGTTGGGGATTTGCGTGAAGCTTGAGAAGAGATTTGAGCGAGGGAGCTGGAGGTAAAGAATGTGGAGCTGGAGGGACTGGCCGAACTGCAAAACTGTTGGAACGTGTTTGACGACGCTCGACTGAACTTACTGTTGACCGGTCGCTCTGCCGCACGTTTCTCCCTCTCAAGTCGTCTTCGCTTTCGTGCATAGTCCGTACGCATCCCATCGCGGAGATCGTCTCGGGCTTGGCGCCACTCGGACCATGCTGCAGCCTCTTCTGCGCGTCGTATCGTGCCACACCAGTTGATTTCAAGCGTACGGCGTGTCTCGGCCAGCTGTTTTCGCCTCGCACGTCGGTCGTCAAGTTGACGTTGGAAAAAGACGAGTTCGGGGTGTGTCCCTATAACAATAATATTAGATCAATTTTCACCAGCCGGCGTAAAGCTCACCATCGAGTATCATGGCCTCCTCCTTGGCAGCCTCTTCCATCTTGTCCGCGTAAAGCCGTTCTCGTAGTTCTGCAAAGCGCACCTCCATGCCAGCCAGAACGTCCAGCGCTTCGGCGCGGTGAGGGGGTTGCATTTCTGGGTCGACCTCGATTTCAGCCTCAGGCTCGGGCTCAGGTTCAGGTTCAGGCTCTGCCTCGTCTTCTGGCTCGGGTTCAATGCTGGCCTTGGAGTCGTCGCCAGGCGCAGGGTCGTCCTCGGGCTCAGCGTCTGCCTCAGGCTCGGGTTCGGGTTCTGGTGCCTCTGCGACGACAACTTTTCGAGCAATTTTAGGGCCATGATATTGGTCTGGGTCTGGGCCGTCTGCTGGCATCTCGACATCGGATTTCGACTCGTCTGGATCTTGCTCTGATGCAGAAGGCTGATCACCTGGTGGAGGTGAGGTAACCTTTCGGGAATCAGGTTGGATGGGGCGGGGAGAGGGGCGTGGGGTGGTTGCGTTGGCTTGAAACAAATTAGCGAATAGACTAGAAAAATACAACCGAGCTCACTATTAGCCCCAGATACGGGGGTATCGATATCGTCAGTGGCGGGTCGGTTAGACGTAGTGAGCCCGGGACGCTCGGCAGCGGATGCCGGTTTGTCCAGCCGCCGGGGTGCTGGCTCACTAATGGCAGTTGCAGGCGTCTCGTCGATTTCCCCGTCGCTCAGCTGCCGCAAACCGTGAGCACGCAATTTGCAACGCAGAAAGATAACGTACCTGCGCATCGAGCGGTTTTGTGGGCTCTGGGCCACTCGACTGGCTGCGGCTCGGACTGCCGTCGCGAGGAGCAATCTCGAGGCCCAACCCATTAACCGCAGACTTGTTGTTTTTCTTGTACGCCCACTCCCACATTGTTGGAGGAACGATCACCCCACTGCGCCGTGACGAACGAGAATTCGATTGTGTCTGGGAGCCACTCACACTCGTGCCCCCACTGCCGCTACTGCCACCGTTCTGTGCGCCATTGACGGTGCTCTCGGAAGTGCCACGGCTGTGGGGGCGCCGGGTAGACTGCTCCTGGGGCGCCGTCGTTCCCAGCGTGCGGCGCGCTCGTCGACCTCGGCCACGCCCCTTGTTCTTCTTGGCCCTTTGCGCGACTTCGTCCTCGTCTGTGAGCTCTGACGAGTCGGAGCCTGATTCGAGTCCTGCTGCCCGCGCCGATTTGTTCGCGAACCGGGCCTGATTCTGGGGAGGTAGTACTGCGGAGAGTCGAGGAGGAGATGGTGTGGGGGGGCTGAGAGAACCAGATGAGGCTCGGATCGAACGCGAGGGTGTCGACTCCATCGTCGTCTTGCAGACTGTTTCCGACCAGCGCTTCCCACCG